CCACAGAAATTTTCCAAAAATTTTATCTGGCAAAAGCCTTGTTGGAAAAAAATTGTCAAATTGGAATCATTAACTAACTTTTAGTAAAAATTGTTACTGTGAAATAAATCTTTCCTTTAAAATATATTATTTCCGCCGTTGTTTCAATATATTGGATCAAAATAATCAGGTTAACAAAATAGCGACGTTAAACAGCAAAAATAACAATGTTAAATTTAAAAAAAAAAAAAAAATTAAATCAGATCACCCAAATGATATGCATATAAAAATTTTTAAATTTTTTAATGTAAAAAAATTAAAGTTCCCAAATTTAAAATTAGAAGCTAATAAGTATTGATATTAATCTTTCAAAGAATTATAATTTCAAGAGGTGGCATACAGAGGAGTGGGTAAGATGATTTATTATTATTATTTTTTAAACATACAATTAGAAGGACTAAGGTAGCTATTTTTTTATTTAGCACAAAATAAAAATTCAAGATTGATTTTCAGACTTGTTTAAGACAAAAGATTCCTCTACATACATTTTATTGTAAGTTGCTTTTAACATATTTTATTGTTATTATTATATCTTATCAAATATTTTCATTTAAATTTATGAGTTGATCAGAGAAGCACATTATTGTTAATTGCAGAAATATTTAAAGCGCAATATCTAAATTAATATAAAATTTTTCTAGCTTCAACTACCCATGAGAAAATAAAAAAATATATTAAAAAAATAAAATTGCATATAGTTGAACCTTGAAAACACAATCATATTCTCGATATGACAGTTACTATAATGTTAAATTTTTGCTTATATTAAACTTCATGAACATATTTGTATATTTACCAAGATCCTTGTGTAAAAAATATTGGAACTGTATGCAAATATATATTATAGATTTTCATTGAAATTTTTTTCAATGAAAATCCCGGAAAATTATTTTATTAAAAATTGATCGAATTAACAGACAACAAAAACTTTCGTAAACTTTTAAAACGGAATTTAGATTATTTAACTTTTTACAAAGAGGAATTTTTAATTTAAAAGTTAATTTGAATGAATTAAAGAGCAAAAAAAAAAAATAAAAAAAAATTAATTTTTCACGAGATTAATTTTCACGAAAATCTGGTGAAAATTTTAATTATAGAAATCATATTTGTTTAAATGAAAAAGTTGTCGTATTTAAAACTTTATGTAAAAATATATAATTTTTTTTTCAAATTAATAACAAAAAACATCTGGAAATTTCTGGAAAATTAAAGGAGTTTTAAGTGAATTTCTGGAATTCCGGGAATCGTCAGAAAAACTTATCTATGATATATAAAAAACTAAAATAAAATTAAAAAAAACAAAACAAACTAAATCAAATCAATTAAGTTTCGTAGAGATATAAAATTAATTTTAAAACAAAACAAAAACACTTACAAGTTTTTCATTTTTATTAATAAGTATTGAAATTCTTTCATGAGGCACTTCTAATCCAGACTCATCCCCATCATTACCACTGTCAATAAAATCAGGGTGACCTTCAGTTAAAACACTACTAACTTCAGAAGATGTTGACAAAAGCTACATAAATTGAAATTAAAAAATTCAAAATGAATCTCAAATGTATAATGTTTAATACACACACACATTATTTACATATATATATATAATAAAACTAAAATGAATTTTAAATGTATAATGTTATATAGATATATATATATATATATATATATATATATATATATATATATATATATATATATATATATATATATATATATATATATATATATATATATATATATATATATATCTGTGTGTGTATGCGTGTAACAGAATGATATTCAGTAAATTAAAAATACCATCCCACCTAATCATTGTTATATAAGGAGATTTATAAAAAGGTGACAGAACGATTTATACTGTATAAAAAGGTGACGGGATGGCATCCTGCAGCATCCCGCCCCACTTTGAGCACTGTAATTTATATATTTATATATATACATATATATTTAATAATTAAATATGGTAGTAGTGTAGTAGTAGAACGCTTATTTCATAAGCAAGAGGTTCCGAGTCAACTTGTTGCTCGGTGCAGAGGCATTGTTTATCAAGGTTTGTGTTTCAGAGTTATAGAGTTAAGAGAGGGTTATAGCCACAATTTAAGTAGCCTCCTTGTCTATCTATAGTAAAAATCACTGGTACAACTAAATTTAATTAAATTACACAGTATTAATTCTTGATTGCACACAAAACAATATATTATTCTACAGGTAACTTAACTCACATTACTTGACCTTAAATTCCGTTGACCATATGGTGCATAAGAAACATCTTCACGTGAGTTTATCTCAGATAAATCTAAATTAAATATGAAAAAAACAAAAACAAAAATAAAAACACATCAAAAACAACAATAGTAATTATTTTAACAGTAAACGTCTAAAAAAAAAGTAATTTACTTATGTCAACTCTTTCTTTAGCAAAATTTCCTAACACTTGTAACCATATATTATAATCCTCCTCATTCCATGCTGCAAAAATATGACCTGTTTCAATGGTTAATCCTAACTAGAAACATAAATATATATAAATTAAAAAAAAAAAACTCTTGAAAAAATCCAACTAAAATGAAGCATTTATTACATGCACATTCGCAAATAAAAAGATAGCGAAAAAAAAAAAAAGAAACTTTTACAAAAAGTAAAAAGTTTCATACAATTCATATTAGGATTTTTTATTTGCTTAAACACATTTTTAGAATGTTTAAAAGTGTCTACATTTAATGAGTATGGACAAATAAAAATATCTACATTCAAAAAGTATGACACAAAACTTAAACAAATGTCCAAGGTAAAAATAGCACTGAAAGTTTTTGAAACTTTGAAATTAGTATAGCAGGGTTTATACAGGTTCTTAATGACAAATTTCCCTGACTTAACTCAAAAAGATAAACAATTTCCATGACTTTTTCTTGAAAACCAACAAGCATTTGTCTGGTCATATATGTTTTTTAATCAAAGGTATTTATTTATTTACATTGATGCAGTGTCAACTGTAGTTTCAATGGATACTTAAACAACATGTTTAAGTATCCATTGAATCTCTGCATTAGGTTTACCTCCATTGTGATAAAAGGAATTGTTACTTGAGATTATGTAACAAGGAAATTGTAAAAATTTTAACTACACCTGCTGAACAACTTGATTTAGTGTTTTTGCATGTCTTTGAGTATGTTTCAGTGGATAATTCTGTGATATCTTATATATTTTTTTCTGTCCTTGAACCATCTTTTAATGAGTTATATTCTTTACATAACTGTTTATTGCCACAACACCCATACTGCTCAATGCTATGCAAACAATACTATACAAACTTTGCAAAGTATACATCTTTCTTGAGTGTCAACTGGTATTTTACATTTTATGAACTATACTAAATAGCCAAGTATCTTGAAAATTTAGAATTCAAAATATTTTATTATTCCCTGATAGTAAGTGACTGGGGCCCCAGCTAAAAATGAGTCTTTTTGCAAAACCAGCCCTGGCCTCGGCACCAGCAAAAATATAAGATTTAGCAAGAGTTGATAGCGGCTATAAAAAAATTTATAATACTTAAAATATTATAATTTTATGCTTACATTTACTATTTATAAAATACTGGCATACATTTATATATTTTTAAACTCTAATTTATTTCCAACAAGATTGCAAGCAACCACTATTAATTTATGAGTTACTTTAAAATAGAGAATAAGTTAAATACTAGGAAACTTATAACTGAAGAAAGTTGTAAGTTGTATAAATAAGGAAAACATGAAGATAAGTAGAGTTATAAAGTTTTTTTGATGTTTAAGGAAAAAAACTGGATAAATAAAAGTTTTTTTAGCATGAGTGGACAGATATAATAAAAGGATGCAAGTTGTTGAACAAAAAACCAAGCAAGAATGAGTTTTGGTTTATTGTAATAGAGATGATAGCTCATTTGAACATTGACTATGATTCTATTTGTAGAAAAAAGAAAGAACTTTGTAGTACCTTTAAAGTTACTTGAAATAAAGATAAGGGTAGGCCTTCAAGAACAACTTTACTACAGCAGTTAAAAGGAAATAATTTAATAACCTCAAAACCTTTATATAAAGAAACTGATAACAGGGTGAAGACTAATCATAGGATAGTTGGAGAGGTCAAAGTGTTTTCTAGAGTTTTGAAAAATTGGAGAGAATTCTGGAAAAAAAAACTGTAGATATGTTTAATTGAGAAGTAACTTTAGCATTGAAAGCGAGTGATTTTGATATTTAGCAATGAGTTAATCTGTTTAACTGTCAGGAAGAGTATGGCCATTATACTCAAGAGTCAAATTAGAGTAGGATTTCTTCACATATAACTCTGCTTTATTCTGGGGAGAAGTAAAAAGATCAGACCCATTAATTAGAAATGTTAGAATTACTTTAGTTAATGACATTGTTGGAGACTAACCAAGTCTCTTGAACCTAACATCTGAGATAAGATACAAGATTTAGAAAAAGTCATGGAAATTGTTTATCTTTTTGAGTTAAGTCAGGGAAATTTGTCATTAAGAACCTGTATAAACCCTGCTATACTAATTTCAAAGTTTCAAAAACTTTCAGTGCTATTTTTACCTTGGACATTTGTTTAAGTTTTGTGAGAACAACAGTGTTTGACATTAGACAAGACTTTTTTTACATTTTTTGAAAGGACATTTTTTTGATGATGTTGATGATGATCATGATCTTCATCATCAGGCTCTAGCCTTCCTCTTTTTATCCTGTTGATGATTATGATCATAATCATGATGATAATAATAATGATGATGATCATGATAATAATGATTATGATCATCATGTTGATCATAATGATGTTTATATATGCATATATATACAAAATATAATATGAATTTTGAATAACAAAAATATACTTTAGGATGTATAAATGTTTATGCAGCCCCCAGTCACAAACCCAGCCCCGGTCCCAGCTATATTTTATCATACCCAAATCCGGCCCTGGTCAAATACCAACCCTGATCACTTACTATTCCCAGATTCACTATGAATAAAAGCAACTGTTTTCCCTGACCACAATGAGAATTCCCTGACTTTCCCTGGCTTAAAAAACCTAACTAAAAACTTGCTAAAAGTTAAAACAACTCTTTTTCTATATATTAACATCAAAAACTAAAATTGAAATAAAATCAAGGGAAACTTATCCTTTTGTTTTTAAATTTGCATTTCAAAACATATTTATATTTTAGAATTCATGATAAAAATTAATAATTCTATCATCTTTTTTTGATGGCCTATTTTATAGGTTTAAGGATACTTATTTTCTTTATACTACTGTTAATTTTTACCATTTTATTTTACTTTTTCATTTTTTTATATTATTCATATTTATTATACTTTATTTGAATATTTTTCCAAATTTCTTGCTTGTTTATTTAAATGTGACTGTTTTTTAGTTTTTGTATGTTTTTCTGTAGGTTGTTGTTTTTTTTTGTTTGCTTCCGGATATTTCTCCTTTAATTAGTTTTTAACTATTTGATTGTCTAGCATTGTAAATTTATTCTATTGTAATTTTATGTCTATGAATGAATCATTTTATTTAAATTTATGTCTAAATGAATGAATAAATGAGTCTCAAAGTAGATTGTTTTGTTTTTATAATTTTGATAAATTTAAACTTTGTTTAAATACTAATATTAATTTATTGTTACAGTAAAACTGTTTTTGTTATACTTTTGATGTTAATCTATTATTATTTAAACAATATTGTTTGACTTTGTGTAAGACTGTCAAAATATATTTATAAATTAAAAGATTGTTCTGAAACAAACCTAATGGCAAGAGTGACCTAGTTTGGCTAGGTCACTCTTGCCCTATTCATAAACAATGATTAATCTAGATTGGGGAGTGAATTTGAGTAATTTCAGTAAGTTAATTAACAAAGGTTAGTAAAAGAAAAACTTTAAGAGTTTTATTTAAAATATAGTTTAAATATCATTGTTGCCACTTATATACAAAGTTAAAAAACTTCACAAAAAAAGTTACCTTAAACAAGTTAAGCTTCGGGAGAATTCCGACAGAACTAATTGTTGTTATTATACATTCTCTTACGTTTAACTCCACCTCAAGAAGTTTCATATCAGCATCTTTGTATCCAAGAAGAGATCCATTCTCAAATACAAAATTGATGCTTGTCCACTGCCCATTGTAATTCCAAAGCAATTTACTGGTAAAATAGTCTTGCAAAGATCTGCTTCTCCTTGATGCTTAAAAATTTTAACCAACTTTAAATTTTAGTAAAAACAATGTAAAAAACATGCAAGCTGAAAAAAAAAGTATTTGAAATAAAAAGTAACTTTAATATTATTAACTTATTCTAGCCAACTCGGCACAGATTTATTCTAGCTAACTAGACTAAGATTTGGCACAAATTGCTAGAAAACTTAGCAACTGTATAAACCTGCTATTAAAACAAAAAAATATTATTTTATATATATATAAATCATATTAAGAAATTAAAATTAAAAAATAATAAATAAATAATTAAAAACACTATTTCCTTTTTTTGAAACCTTAACAAAAGAAAGATTTTTCTTTTGTTAAAACCCACAGGTCATATTAGCCTGATATAGGCACTACTGAATTTAATAATACAGTCGACTCTCGATATCTCGAATACTTAATATCTCGAACTCCTTAATATCTCGAACTTTTTGGTATCTCGAACAATATTTTCTATCTTTTTGGTATATTTTCTATATTTTGGTATCTCGAACAATATTTTCACAGGGCAATTTTCTCTCGTTATCTCGAACTTTTCAACATTTTTTTTTTCAAAAATGTTTTAAAAAAATTTAATTTTTTTTTAAATTCCAATTTTCGAAAAAAAAAAATTTTTAATTCGATTTTTAAATTCGATTTTTTTTTAAGAATCGAATTTCTGAAAAATTTTTCTTTAGTATATTAATTTATTCTTTTTGTCAAACGCAACAACATGCCGCTCGTTAAACGAAAACTCACGAACAAATCTACAATAGAAAAATGCAAGGCAAGACCTAGAGACAGGGATGTCTAACAAAGAGGTTGTCAAAAAGTATGGAGTCCCAAAGAACACATTATAAACCTGGATTAAAAATAAAACCAAGTTATTAACCTCACTGGAAAAAAATGGCACAAAATCTAAACGGAAGAAACTTCGTAGTGGTAATTTCAAAAATGTAGACAAGGCCATATACACGTGGTTCGTTGCAAAAAGAAGTCAACAAGTACCAATTGATGGTACCATACTAAAAGAAAAGGCACTAAAATTCGCAGAAGCATTCGGAGAGTTGGATTTTAAAGCATCTGATTGTTGGTTTCATAATTGGAAAGAAAGGTCAGTTAAATTTTGTCAAATCTTGTTCAATTTTAATATAAACAAATAACATGTATCTGTTTATATTTAATTTATTTAGTTTTTTAAACGTGTAATTAAAATTCAATTATTCTGTTCCTATTTTTAGGAACGGCATCAGCTTTAAAATAATCTCTGGCGAAAGTGCCGCCGTGACGAATAAATGACTGCTTCGTGGAATGAAACTACACTTCCAACATTGCTTTTGAATTACAAACTTGAAAACATTTTCAATGCCGATGAGTTTGGACTATTTTACCAGTGCCTACTAAACAAAACATACCATTTATTACGAGAAAAATGTTTTGGGGGAAAAAATAGTAAAGTCAGACTAACAGGCATAGCAGCAGGAAGTGCAACGGGAGAAAAATTACCTATGTTTGTTATTGGAAAATCTAAAAACCCACGGTGTTTTAAGCACATTAAACAACTTCTTTGCACATATAAAAATCAGCTAAAAAGTTGGATGACCAGAGACCTTTTTACAGAATGGGTAATGAAACTTGACTCATTTTTTCGTGCTCAAGACAGGAAAGTAGCACTCCTGGTGGATAACTGTTCTGCCCACCCACACATTGAAGGGTTAAGCAACATCAACCTAATATTTTTACCCCTAACACCATATCTGTCCTTCAGCCCATGGATCAAGGCGTAATACGAAGTCTTAAAGCTCATTATTGTCACAAAATTGTGCGTTTGTGTATCAAGGCTGTCGATAATAACGAACCCATGCCAAAAATTTCTATACTTCAAGCAATAAAAGATCTTGTGTCTTCGTGGAATGCTGTGTCGAAGGAGACTGTCATCAACTGCTTTAAAAAAGCTGGTATCAGCAAAACAAACAAGAGTATTGAAGAAGCTGATGATGATCATCCTTTTAAATTTTTGACAGAAGAACTTAACCGTTTGCGAGAGTTAGATCCTCGTGCCGTCCAAGAAGATCTCTCAGCGGAATCTTACATTGGTTTAGATTGCGATGTAGTAGATTATATATTGTAAAAATATTTGAAAAACACAACATCTTTTAACATTATTAAAAATTAATAAAGTTAATTTATTTAACATTTATTTATTACAACAAGTTTATTTATTACAACAAGTATTTAACATTTGTTTTTATTTAATATTTAATTGCGTTAAAGCAAAGAGCAATTATTTTTCATTAGATCCGCCGGCGAGAGGCAAGTATTTCCGCCATCCAACTCAACGGCCGCAGCCAGTTGGGAGGCAGAAGCCATTGGAGACGGCCTCCAAATAGCTTTGCCTCCAAAATTTCTTCTGGAGGCGGCCACCATTGGCTTCCGCCACTCTATTGGCGTCGGCCTCCAAAACATTTTGCTTCCAAAAAAAAAACTCCGGCTGCGGCCGCCAATAGATAAGCGGAAGCCACTGGAGGCGAAGAAAGAATATTTTGCCGTTCTAAATTGATCAGGAGGCCGCCGTCAACAGCTTCCGCCTCCTTAAAAAGTCGGCCTTTCGGCAGAAAGTTACTTTGCCGCCGGGCGGCATTATCAACTCTGGCAAAAATTAGAGGAAAATATATTCCGGATTTTTTCCGCACATTTTACCCATAAAATTTTCCGGATTTTTAAAATATGACCTGGTCCTGGTCACCTGGATGATTTATGGAACACAATTAAACAATTTAATTCTAGTGTGGCTTGTGTTTTTAAAAGATTGACGATTTTTAAAGCCTAAATACACTGAAAGTTTTTATTCTTATCAGTGGCTAGTATATATTTTTACTGATTTTTTTTTTTTTAGATTTGAGATGTTTTTTGTTGATAACAAGTAAAAATTACTAAACGAGGGGAGGGGGGTCTTTAAAAATTAATAATATTAAGCACCTGATTTAAATTATAGAAAGATATATATTGTTTTATAAACAAGTTTCTTTAGAAATTTTCATGATTTTAAAATTTATCAAATTATGGAGATCTACAGATATTCTAATTCAAGTAATAAATGATTAACAATTAAAAGCAGCAGTTCACGCCTCTACATATCACATTTAGATTAAATATTTAAATGTTTGTGTTAAATATCTGATATGCTATATCCATTCATTGTCATTGCACAGAGCTGAATTTCTATTTGCTTTTAGAAAACTTATAATCATTAAAAAAAATTTTTTTTTAAAGTGCAGTAAGTTTTTAATTTTGTTTCTTATTTATACAGTCGACTCTCGATATCGACTGTTCGAGATATCGAGAAAAGGGTTGAAAACAAATAAAATTGCCCGACTTTCATTAAAACAAGTTATTTTTCTGACAAAAATCATTAACAACAAAAACTACAACTTTTGGAAAAAATCTGATATCTGATAGTGCTAGGGATTGTATTTCATTTCCGTATTTTGAGCTGTATAGCGAAGCATTTTGAACTGTTTCAAAAGCAATTTCTAATTGAATATCAGATGGGCGTGGCGGGGCTTTGACGTCAATAGCTTCGTCAACGCTATCTTCAACTTCATTATTGTCGTTTTCAAAATTAGGGTCTAAAATCTGAGCAATGATTTCAGCATCAGTAGCAAGTGAACCGGTGGTTAAAAACTGATCGGAAGGCAGCAGCCGTCTGCTGCGGAAGAAAAGTGGAGGCAACAAGATTTACGTCGTTTATCAACACTGAATTTTTGCTTTCAGCTCAAATTGAAAAAAATCTTTTTATTTTGTATGAATGATGAGTAAAAAAGCTTAAAAAGCAAATATATTACAAAACTATGCATCTAAACTTGTATGTGTGAAAAACATTTTAGATATCTGGAAAAACTGAAAGTTGAGAAAAAATTCTGCTGGGTAGCAGCTGAAAGTAATTCCCTGTAAATAAATACTCACGGAGAACTTATTTCCTAGTCAAAAAGTACTTCTCCAGTCATTTTAGGCTATTAATTAAATACTCCTTTTAGTAAATAAGTACTCCCAATGAGATTACTTATTTGCTTGTCTAATAATATCCCTTTTAAATTAATTTCGAAAAGCAATATTTTAATGACGATTGATTTTACATTTGTAAATTCTGTTTTATGGTAAACTGAGCAATAGTTAAGTTCTGAGACTTATTAAAAACCAAGTGAACTTAGAATATCAATGCTGAAAAACATTTTAGGACATTGCGGTGCATCGCTGTGTTGTAAAATTGTTCCTTCAATAAAGTAAATTTTCCACACTCTTAGAATAAAAAATGGCGCAACGTTGATTTTGTAGCAACTGAAAAGTTAAAAAAAAAAGTTTTACCTTTTAAAAATCTTAAAAAAAAAAGTTCTACCTATAGAAGTTAAGGCTGATAAAGGAAAGAAATTTTTGAAAAGCTTATAAGAACTTTGGTATTTCATCTAGACAATTATTATCTTTAGCTAATAGACAATGCTAATAGTAATGAAGATTTACTTACAACTTTTCTGCCTGTACAGAAACAAGCAGATGATTTTAGTTGTGGATTGTTTGCTGTTGCTTTTGCAACCGATTATTAGCTGGTAAATTGCCTATAGAAACAAACTTTGATGTATTAAAAATGCGGGAGGCGATTTTGTGACAATTTGTTACGAGGGAGACGGGGGTCTTAACTTTGTGACGCAACACTTTTTTTTTTTTAGTTTTTTATCTACAGACTTTCTTTTAATTAAAAGAGTATTTGACCATGCCAAAACGCTCAGTTGATGTATCTACATATTGATTGTTAAATCAACTACGCATAAGTCTTACTTAGTCGATGTTTATACTTTGTTAATGGAGCAGTTACAGCCTGTTAATGGACCGTTACGGCTGTAACTGGCTTTGAGCAATAAACGTTCTTCGCTTTGACTTTATATGATAAGAACTTTATTTAGTTAGTGCAAAAAAGTGTGCAGCAACAAAAAAACAACCTTTGTGCACT